GCTGCTTGGCAGGCTCATTAGAACAAGCCTCAAATGAGCAGGTTCCACTGTTCTGCAGACAGGGCAATCCCTACAAATAGCAGAAGATGTTTCAGAGCAGAGGGCAAGCAGCTCCTTCAGGCTGGCTACAGAAAAGAACATTGCAATCTGATGCAGAGCCTGAGGTCATAAATGGAAGCAGTATTTTCAGCGCAGAGTTCTGCATCAGCACCTCAACATCCAAATGAAGAGGTATCACTGAAACACAGCGCAGTCAGCCTGACTTGGAATCCCATAGCTCCTTATAGCTTATTCCCCAGCAAAAGTTACCACCCCCATAAGCTGTGAAGGGATCCTAACAAGCCTTACTCCAGTCTGCAGATAGGATACTATCTTTTCCAGATAAGATGGTGCCTACTCTAGTTCTGCTTACAAAAACTGCTGCTAACAGAGTTCACTAGTGCAGTTTATACAGTAGAGAAGAACTGGCCTCTTAGACTCAGTACAGATAGAGTCACTGGCCTCTCCACCATACAAAACAAATACGGCAATTCATTTGCTGTTGCCCGCCAAACATTGTCAAGAAACACATTTAGAAAACAAAACAAAGCAAAAGAAAAACACATATGCCTCAAGCTTTATTAAATTTTCTAGATAAACATCAAGGGCCAAGAAGTCTGCAGAAAAATAAATAAATAAATAAATAAATGGCAGTATTCAGATGAAAACATTTCTTTGTGATCTCTCTTAATTAGCAGATCTTCTGTCTTACATTGTGAATGTGTTTTTCACTGCCTGGAGTCTACTATAGTCCATCCCTCCTGCCCCCAATGGTATAGAAGGGCTTCAGAGCTTTGCTTCCAGCCTTCATTATGGGGTAAGTGGTTCCCTTTAAGTGAGTAATTTATAGCTGTAACTTCTCCGAAGGAAATTAATTTCTGGAAGGTAAACCATGCTTAGCGGTTATGAAGCAAACTGAGCTGAAAGAAATTCATCTACCCTGACACAAAATCAATAGCAAAGACTGAAAGGTTCCCCCAGAAATCCCACATTAACTGAATCTCTGCTGAGCACTGCAACACACAGGGCAGGAGAAAAGTGACTTACAGTTCAGGGCTTGTGAAATCCAAAAGATATCATCCGAGTCCCTGAGCATATGACCTCAAGCTGAACATTGACTCAGCAGTTGAGATGCTCTGCAAAAAGACATGTCCTTCCTTCCCCTGCTGCCTTCTGTGGCATCAGCTGCTTGGATAGCACTGCTGTAATGGGCCACCCAAGCTGTGCCACTCGCAGCATCAGGTGCCTTACCAGGGAAGCAAGGAACACACCTAACACACCAACACGTCACGGGTCTCAGCAGGGATCCAGAAGGCTCTTAACCTTCCTGTCCCTACTCAGACTGGGAAGAATGAGTTTATGTCCGGGAGCCTCTTCCTGCCAAGCACGGCTCCACCATTATGGATCCGGGGAGATCCACAGCATAGCACATTAGAGCCCTAAGAGCTCCTGCACCAAGTTTGTCAGTCAATATTGGGACACCAGGTAGCAATATCAGGGCTAGCACTTGCTGCCTCCTCTTCCTCCACCTTGCAACTCTGCCCCGGTAGCAGTTGAAGAAAAGGCTGCTGATCAGAGACAGAACACGAGTCTTACAGAACAGCTTCCTGCTCCACTTCCGAGAGCAGCCACAGCCCTGCCAGGCTCCTCAGCAGAGGCCCCTGCCCATTCCTTGTGCTTTCCTTCAGCTGTTGCTGCTCAGATTAAGCATGTGCTGAACTGGGGCCCTAAGCCTGGCAGGCTCCACGCACAGGTCAGTCCTGACCGCAGGTGCCATTCCCAGGCACTTGGGAGCAAGCCAGGCACAGCCTGTGCCTGCCGCCTGGTGAAAGGGCAGTGGTACCTGTCCTGCCAGGCTTGGTATTCCCCTCCTTATCCACGCAGAATTCTCTGATATCCACAAGGACCTTTCCCTTGAAGCTGGACACCCAGATGTAGCACGTCTTCCCAATCTGTGCAGCCAGGAAGCCTGCACTGAACCCCGTGTGCGGCCAGGGGCTCTGCAGCCTGCTGCGCTATCTGGGCCTCTTGCAGCACAAGGGCTGGAGGAGGCTGTGCCCAGGCAGGCGCAGCTGGAGGAGGATGGTGCAGCTGAAGCAGTGTCCTGCAGAGGGGCTGCAGGAGGACAGCACAGGGCCAGCACTGTTGTGCTCCTACCTGGAACAGGTCCTCCTCCTCACCACCCTGCTCCTGGGGCCTTGCAGCTGCCTTTGAAGACCTGGCCTCTGCTCGCGGGCCTTTTCTCCAGCTTAGAGGGTGTTTCTCTCCTCCTTTTCCCAGGAAAGAGACCAGCAGCTGGAGCAGCCCAGCCAGAGGTGCCTCGACTCCTAGCCCAGGGCAGGGGCAGCCCGAGGGCCGGACCCAGGCCCTGCTCCTCGGCCTCCAGCAGCCTGGGGGGAAGAGGGCGGCGGGCGGCGCCGCCAGGGGCTGGGG